ATTTGAACAAACTCAATGGGGTAGAGAGATGAAGGAGGAATCTCTGGCATTTTTCGAACGAATGTACAAAGAGAATTATACCAAACCTGAAAAACAAACTGTAGAAGAGGAAAATACAGAAAAGGAGACAAAGAAGAACAGCAGTAAGGAGAATGATGATCACTTGAAGCCTGGCCGAATTGATTTGAACTCAATTTTCACTGATTCATGTAAAACGAAACATTGGAGAGATGAACTCGAGGAGTATCTTAATCTATCAAGAGCTGACAAACACCAAGATTTACTTGAGTGGTGGAGAGCAAGAGAAAGTACATTCCCTACTCTTGCAAAGATGGCCAGAGATTTATTTTCTATTCCAGCAACATCAGTGCCTGCTGAGAGACTATTTTCCCTTGCTGGTCTGATCATCACCAATCTCAGAAATTCCATGAGTGACAAATCGGCTCGAGCCTTACTGTGTTTGCATTCTTGGGCATCTTGCGAGTTCAAAGAGTTCATAAATGCCCCATAACTTGTTTAGCCTTTATCTTTGACTTCATAAGTATTAAGTTTTGGAAGAAGTTTATACAAATATATATAATATAGATAATGTACACATTGTACATATTGTATTCATAATTTTGTAGTTGTAAACGTTGNGTTTCAGATATCCTATATGTTTATAGTGTTTCACTCATTCAGGCCAATAAATATTTTATCCGGTCGAAACTATATTGGAGAGAAATTGATTGTGAATTCAAATGAAATATTATTTAAATATATCAGTTCTATCGTTGATGTCAACTCCTTTGACCTCTCTGGAGCGAAAGAAAGAGACCAGATCTGAGAGGTATAAGTTAAAAAGAAGGGGGCTCAATTTCTCACCCTGCAGGGCTCCTTCACTGACGTCAACCTCCGCTGAGGATCCTTTCTGGGTTCTGATGTGCATGGTAGAGTGGTCATAGAGGTTCTTGATGACTTTGATAATCCTGGAACTCACCCCGAGTCCCAGGAGTTCCAACCAGAGTTGATGCTGCGGTACAGAGTCAAAGGCTCTTCTAAAATCCACGAAGAGGGAGTAGACTTTGCCACCGGTTTGTCTCAGTCTATTTTGGATTATTGCTTGGAGAGAGAAGAGGTTGTCCACAGCACCTCTAGATTGGCGGAAGCCAGCCTGTTCTTCTGGAATGACTCTCTTCATCTCAGCCCAGTCGTAGACTCGCTCGTTAAGGATGGAGGTGAAGTGCTTGGTGATCACATTTATGAGAGCGATCCCCCTGTAGTTCAGGGGATCTCTCTGATCGCCTTTCTTGTAGATCATACAAAGGGCTATCTTGGTCCAAGCATCAGGCACCTCGCCTGTGATAAGAACCCTATTGAACAGGTCAAGGAGGATGGATTTCCAGTCCTGAGGCAGGTACTTGTAGAAGTTGGCAGAGATTGAGTCTTCTCCAGGAGCTTTGCCCCCCTTCATGCTCTTTATGCTGCGGTTCAATTCCTCAGGGGAAATCGGAAGGTCCATGCTGATCAGTGGTGTATCAGGCAAAATCAGAGCCCAAGAGGATCTACCAGGGTAGGTGCGGAGAAGAAATTCACTCCATTCATCAAGTATAATCACTTCCCGAGTCTCAGGGCGCCCTTTCACTGCTCGACACGTTTCCCAAAAAGTGATAGAATTTTTTACATTCGAATATTTCTCAGACAATTCACTTTTATATGCTTTCTTTTTCGCCATAGTTTCTTTTCTATATAATTTGTTCTTTTCATTGAAAGTCACTGCACTCGCCATGTTGAAATTAGGATCATAAATTTTTTTGAAAAGCTTCCTGGCTTCAGTCTTCAGTCTGTGACATTCGGCATCGAACCAGGGAGATTTCCGCTGTCCCTGAAGATATGAGTTAAATGGTCGAGAAATTTTCCTCATCCCCGATGCAGAAGCAGCTTCCTTGATAGCGTCACAGATCAGTTCATTCAGAGTGTTTAGATCATGCTCAGGGCTTGCCTCAGAGATTCTTACTGAGTTTGCAAGATGTCTAGAATAGACATCAAACTTGTCAGCCTTCCATATGAGCTTAGGGTTCTGAGAGACTGCAGGGGGAGAATTGTCTAGGCAAACTATTGAAGGAGGGTCATCGTCATGGGGGGACGAGAAATCAGTCTTCAATGCCAGACTCAAAGTGAGCGAAAGATGATTGGACCCCAGAAGGGTAGAGGAATCCTCCATATCAATAATCGACCCTGCATGGTCAGCACTCACCCAGGTTAGATCAAGGGTCGAGGTAGATCTGGAACTGGTGAATCGACCGGGGTGATCCAAAGTTGTTCGACCATTCAGAAGGATGAATCCATTCTCAGTCATGAAGGACATCAGCATCTCGCCTCTCTCATTGGTTTCCGTTACTGAGGTTTCTCTGTGCTCATATAGCCTCGTACCATAGACAATCTCAGGAGGAAGGTCGTCCTCAAAATCTGCTATTGTAGCATTCATGTCACCACCCAGAATAATGATGTCGGACTGAAATTTACTCTGTATTTCATCTAAGGAGAGTTGGAAAAGTTCTAGGATTTGGTCTAGTTGGAGGGTTGGTTTGAAGTACACCGAGCCCACAACAATATTCCGCAGACCCGCACAGATTCTGAAGAAGATCCACCAGGGAGTAATCTCAATCGTTTCAGAGACCAGAGCTGGATGAGTAAGACACAAGAGACCCCCACTTCCCCTGCCTCTGGTTTTATCCTTCAGTGCCACAGACCACATGTTTGAATAGTCTCTCAGAGAGGCTGGCAGTAGATGAGGAGATTCATTGAGGAGCATTGTCTCGGATAAACAGATAATGTGCATTTTAGAGTTGAAATCATTAAGGAGAACGTTATTCATACCATTTGAGTTCCAAAAAGTGATGTTGATTGGGCTGCTCGTTATTAGTTTTTTGTCCTGCGATGGTTGGCTCCGCTACCAGGGCGAGGATTCTTGTGACTAGTAGGAGGCTTCTGGACAAGACAATCTTCTGCATAGTCCCATACCCAGAGAGCACCATCCACAAATAGCGTTTTGTAGCCAGGCTTGGCAGCTTTCCCTTCGTCTCTATACTGCTTAGCAGTGGCTTTGATGGAGCTATAAATTCTGCTATCTCTGGGGGTGAAGTCAGGGTCGATGAATACCCTGCAGTCTCGTTTCTCTTTAAGTTTGGCTTTCTCTTTTATAATTCGGTCTCTTACTTCAGTAGAGAGTAACGATAGAACTGATATATTGCTCTTCCTGTACGCTGACGACTTGATAATCCTGGCTAACAACTCGGTTGACCTCAAGAAGAAGATCTCAATTCTGGAGGAGTACTGTACTGAGTTTGGTCTCACGGTGAACACCAGTAAAACCAAGGTTCTGGTCTTCCGAAAAGGTGGTCGTCTAACCAGAAGAAACCATGACTTCAGACTGAATGAGAGTGAGCCGGAAATTGTATCTTCGTATACGTACTTGGGAGTGAAGCTAAGTTCCTCTGGACTGGGTGGTGCAGCGACTAGAGTGGCTGTCTCAAAGGCTAAATCTGCTTCTTCCTCAATAATTAAAATCACATCGAGAGACAAGGTGGATTCTTGGGAGGGTATTCGTAGACTCTACTATAGCGTACTGCAATCTACCCTTCTGTATGGGGCTTCCATCTGGGGTCTGAGGGATCAGGACAAGCTCGAGACTGCTCAGCTCTCATTCCTGAAGAGGATTTTTCACTTACCTAGAAATGGAGCTGGATATCTCATACGCCTGGAAACCGGTGTTGATCACATTACATGTGAAGTCCTGAAGCAAGCCTTGAGCTGGATCATAAGGATTTTACAAATGAGCACTGATCGTCTGCCCAGAATATGCCTTGAAAGACTTATCTCTCTAGCCTCTAGTGACTCCTCAAATATAGTCTCTGGTTCGGATGACAGGTACAATTGGGTGAAGCAATTGAAAAGCCTCTTGGTTGGGGTAGAAAGTGGAGACTTGTGGCACAACCTGTCACCCGCGTATTGGGAGCAGAGAACGTTCGAGATTATCAACCAATTCAGAGCCAAGACGAAGTATGAGGACTACCTAAGGTACTGTGGGTCCACGTCCATTTTACTGAAGGTTTTAAGGAGCCCTCTTGATAATTTTAAGAATTTCTACCCTGATAGAGCTCCACTAGCCTTCATCAGATTGAAAATGCAGCTCAGAGTACTCTCGACTCACTCCAGACGTTTGATCATCGATGATACTCTCTACCAACTCGACCCCACCCAAATCTGCACTATTTGCACCCAGTTGGCCCACGAGGATATTCTCCATATTTTGTTGGATTGCCGGTTCTACTCGCCTCTGCGAAGCCGCTATCTCCCGAGATTCCTCTGGGACGTCAATACCCGAACGTTATCAGGCCTGTCTGCTTTCCTGAACTCAAACGATGTGAGATGCATCCGCATTTTGTGCTGCTACTTCAAGAAGTGTTTCCAGCTCAGGGCTGCCGAGTTCAATGACTAAGCCATGCTGATGCCAACTGACTTATTATTTTATTTTCACATCATTATTCTTGAGTAATCTGCTCTGCGAATTGTACATTACATCAAGCCGGTGTTGATTTGTGCTGCTGTAACCGCTGATAGAAAACTCGTTTCCGATTTTTTTTTTTTTTTAATTATAATTATGATTATATTGATATTGGTTTTTTGGATTATTATTATCATTACGCTTATTACTCATCTACATATATCTCTTACTCTTATTTCTTTTGTATAATGGGCTCCCCCTGCTAAGTGATACCATGTAGCAATTACAGTTAAATAAATAAATAAATTATTTAAATATAAGTTTGTAATTATCGATTTGGTAAAATATAATTCCTTAGAATTTTAAATTTATACGGATTTATTTTTTATATCTTTTTATTGGTAATGATAATTAGTGATGAATAATACTATTTTTGAAGTTGAGTTAAACTTATTGAGAGCAATTGAAAAACACATCAATTGTCTGAGGCTCTTAATCACACGTAATTTTTACATTCGTAAGGATTTTTTTTCTTTTCTATATTTTATTAGATATATTATATCTATATCTCTAAAATTATGATTTTTAATTATTATATATATTGTAACATGATGGAAATCATGTACTGTTCCTCGCCTGAACTGGCCGCTGATTAAAAGGGGGGGGGGGAATTAGGAAATTATCCCAGCGAGGAGTCGGATCACCCAAGGCCACATTTTCACAATTAGTTCTCATATTGATTTCATTTTTGTTTATTTTATAGGTCAATTCTAACGCTGTTGCGCTCACCGCGGTTTACGCATCAGTTCTGAGACGAGGGGAGTGGAGCGGAGCATCGGAGAGAGCTACAAAGTCGGCGCTACGGCAAATGACGAGTTGGTACACCGACAAGCACGCACACACCGAGCCTGCAGAGACTCACACCGACAAGCACGCGGGAGACGATAGTCGCACGCCAGCAGGCAACTCAGGCCTCTACGTGTGGACCCCCACCACCTTACCGATGTTACTGTGGCGCAAGGCAACCACATAAAAAACTCAGGCTGTAGCATCGAGGGAGCATCGGATCATGTTGGCCCCGCCGCCGTTGAATGCGGAACAGTTCACCGATTGCGAGGCGCAAGTCCAAAGACTTTGGGACCATTAAATTAGGAATTATGGCCAGTGCAAATGCACGATTAGAACATGAATACTCCGCGCGATATCGGTAGATTAGGGTGGGGGTAGGAGAGAAATTGAGGTTCCTCGGGGCGATGTATTACCCGAGGAATCACTCTTCGCTGGGATTTCAGTTGGTAACGTCGCTCTATGCAATTCAGTCGACTTGCTCTTGGAGCTCGTTAGAAAATTCAAGTAATTAGTCTTTGGGGTATTGTGCCTGGATTTTTCCGGTCATCGTCCGAGATCGCTGCCGTATCCAAGGGTCCAGACGAGGTTTTCCTGAAGTTTATCGCGGATCAACAGTTAGCGTAATTTTGTTTGTGAGTGCTCGCGTGGCTTTCGAACGTATAGCCTCCGGTCGCCATTTGGGCACGATTTGAGTACAAAGTAATCGTACTATGAGACGCGGCACTCAGTGGCCTTGGGCCTGTTTAATTGTCTTATTTACTGAACGTCAGGGTTTCATTTCTTTTCATTGTGACTCTTTTTGGAACTGCATTTTTTTTGTCCGTGTGGCTCTCGCGTAGTCGTCGCGTTCGGGTGATCCTCGCGTCCGTGCGTTATCTACGCCACTGAATTCTTTGGTTAACAATTACCAAGATTTATTGAAGGTGAAATCAAGTTCCGTTAGCTCTCTCCGCTAGTCGGAGTTTATGATTTTGCAATTATCACTACCGTTTTCTATGATTATTATTTAGGTTTAATATGTTTTTTTTTATATCGAGTCGGGGAATTTACCCCTTCAATTTTTTTTGTTAGAATACATTCATTTTACACGGTGGTGAGTGTATCATTTTTTTTGCCCGTTTCCACACGCCTCCGCGGTTTTCTGAACTAGTCGTGGAACGCGCTTCGACATCGGGACTTTCTCCTTGGAAGGTTAAAAGGACTGGCGCCCTTCTGGCATTTTTTTTGGTTCCTCTCGTTGATCACCTTCGTACTTTATTCAGGTGGAGAGGTTCTATTCAGGGCGACCAATGTTCGTGAAGGACGACACATATGACGCCCGCATAAGTGATTGGAAAAATATCTCACAACTTTTTGGTACGGGCAATTGCCCGTACCCCCCCCCCCCCCCC